AAAAAGTTAGCTTCAAACTTAGAAATGAGTGAGCGTTTTTTAATAATTTTCAAGAATCAGGGGAGACTTTCATGGAGTTTGGAACCGAGCATATGCCTAAAAACGATTTTTATCAGATTTGAAATGATTGATAGCTATTGGACAAAGCGGAGGAGATTTGCATTTATCGTAAACCACTTTTAGATCATGCTCTTTAAAACTGCAGTTTGTGGAAGCTAGTCCACTTGAATTGATCGCAAGGGTTTATAACATAATTGTGAGTAAGCAAAGCATTTAAAGCACGAACAGCATGCGGCGGCTCATTAGAAATATTAAACTTGGGTGTTGAGGTTCTGATTTCTTTCTGACTTATTTGGTTATTGATGAGAATGCTGTTTGATGAATAGTCACTGTCCAGTAACATTGGTTTTTTTCTGGGAACAGTTGTTTAAGGGAGGCTTATTTCTCTAATCGATAAGTAGTTTGTAGTGCCGTTAAGTAAAAGTTTCTGTTTTTCTGTGACAGCTTCTTGTAGGGATTTATTTACCATGGTAGCAAATATTTTTTCTTTAAAATCTCTTCAATTTGAATATCTTAATTTTGTAGTTTGTTAGAATTAGTTTTTTTATTGACAACTATGTATTCCAGTTTTTTTCTCATCTACGTATACTTCCTGTAACGTACTTCAGGCAACAAATGTATTGAAGTGTGAAGTACTACGAAGAATTACCAGTAAACTTTTTGCAAACTTTTTAAAGGGCAAATCTGTTGAGCAGCTGATGGAAATATTTGGAGTTCAAAACATTGCTGCTTTGGATGACGGTATGATTCCCAGAAATAAAATGCAAACCTATGTTTTTTGTGATTTATTTGAGCATTATTATTTTTGTCTGTTAGTTTACGGTTTTTCGATTACGCTTATTTGGTTTCATATTTTGGTATTAGAAACGCTTCAAATTTGTGATACAGATCCTACTGACAGGAACGAGATTTATGTTTTTTGTAGCTTTGGAGTGGCGCAGGGAGAAGTTGAGAGAGAAGGATCGTGAGAAAGAGGTGAAACGAGAGAAAGAGAAGGAAACAAAGAAGGAGAAAGAACGTGAGAAAAGGAGGAGGAAGTGAATTTCATTGCGAAAATTTTTAATTTTCAGGAGTAATGGAAGACTGTCATGGATTTCGGATCAAAATAACATTAGCAATGCAATTTTTTGCAACTTTTTGTGTGTTATTGTTTGTTTTTTTTCGCTTTCTTATTTTCTCAACTTTAATTACTCTATTTGCTAAGTTACTGAGGTTTTTTCGTCGTATTTTACTGTTCCGGGATATACTAGTCATCTTCGAAACAGTGCTGCAAGCATTGGTTGCGGCTGGCAGTTGAAATGAAAAGATCTCTTCCAATTTGTTTTTGGTTTATTCCTCTTTATCACTTCTATGCGTTTCCCAACTTGCTGCCTGCTTCAACCCTTTTAATATTCTCATTTTTCGTACATCCCCACGAATACATTTGTTCCATTCTCTTATGTTTATCAAGGTTTGTTTTCTTATGTCACCGAGTAAAATTTTACTTCTTGGTTGAGAGGCTTTGCTTAGTGTGTTTAATGCTCAATATACTTTGAAAAATGGAGTCTTTTTCTTGGAGTTTTTTGAGCTAAATTTTGTTCATTATTACATGCTTACAGAAATTTGAATTGAAGCGGTGTTACAACTAGGAGTTGAGTGATATGTGGTTAAAATAAGTGTTTTTTTGCGTGTCATCTTAGAGAAGCTGGAGAATTAATAAGACCATTGTTTTTTCGAGTTTCCTTGGCGAATTGTTGGCTTCCTTTTGTGAGTTTTGAAGTTGTTATTATTTGTGAGAGACTCACGTACTTTTGAGTGGTTTGGTTTTTTTGCAGAGGTACTTTTTAATGCTCCTTTTATTAAATTTTGAACAGCATTTTCTGGATTTTGTTGCTCACAACTGCTGTATGTAATTTGATTTCGCTAGTGACTTCCCACTTTTCTAGCGTTCGCTTCCAGTGAAATTTATCTCCTTGGAAGAAATTTTTTACTGCCTTTAAAAAACCAGTCGTAAAAAAACGTCTAGATCGTAAACTGTTTCAAAGGAACGACAATTTTTAGGTTCCTTTATGACAAAAACCAAAACTTCTCTGCGTTCCCTTTTTAGCAGCAAAAGTTCCCAAGAGTTCTCAGGTAAAGTGCGGTTGTGTGACCTTTGTTCCAGTTTTATAGTTGCTTTTAGGACTCACAGTTATACCTGCTGAGGGGGTTACTTACTGAGTATTCCGAGAATTGCAGTTTAGTTTTTGGAATGTAAGGACAAAAAATATGACTCAATAAATATTTGGCATTATATTTGAAGGTTTGCTGTCATGAAACTTTTAATGACACAGAAAAAATAGCTTCGAAATTTTTTAACCTACTGCAGAAGTCGCTGTAGTGCAAATAACTTCTTATGAAAAGGTTAAGAATAAGAAATAATAACAAAAATTATGAATAAATGCTTCTGGCAGGTATCGTTGTTCGTATGGTAACACGCATTTGCTTCAGTTGAAAGATAATGACAGGCTTAGAAGGGCTGCCTCTTTGCAGTCTTACAGCACGATCCTGCATGAGTTCACATGAGAGGAATTACGTTCAATATCGAAATTATTTTCTGCTTTTCTTCTGCCTTGAAATCATTTCTATCACCGGCGAGAAACTTCTTGCACTTAGTCAGCAACGGGGCACAGCTCCATTCACTGCATGATTCGCTGTTCAACGATGCAAAGAAGTAATTGATCAGTTACTTGTCCCCATACTTTGAGCAGTGTTGTTCTGGATCATTGCTCTATCTTTATCTGGCGGAAAATTTTATTTTTTGGATTCTTTCTTTGAGAAGCCAGTGAGAAATTATAAAAAAAACTGAATCTGATTGAAGTTTAAACCTGAACATCATATAGAAGTTTTTTGTTTTTTCAAGATTTTGCTGCTTGTGGCATCCTAAATCTTCCTGTATTATCAAAGCAGCTAAAGTTCATTCACATTTTAGAAAACATTTTTTCAAAGTATGTTCTGGATCCTGAAATCAGTCACTTTCTTTTTTTTTCATATTTTTCAGTTAACTATCTGAAACTAATATTTTGGTTTTTTGACATCTGTAACGACTTTGATATGCGTTTAATGAGCTTAACGGGGAAGAGATATCAAAGGAGGAAATCTTAATGAATAAAAATCTGTTTCTGCCAGAAATAGATGTGTGTAAGTATGATTTTTGCAGACTTTATTGGGTCACAAAATGAAGGCGTGAGGAATTGAAAAAGTTTAGCAGACTCCCAATCCCCATTAAAAAGTAAACTCGAAGAATTAGGCGATTCTAATACTTCTTCATCAAAGTGGCATGATCTAAAGTTCATCTCGTCAAAAAAAAAGGACTTATACAGCCGCACTGTGACAAGGTAAAATTCTTTTTTTCTTTTCTTCGACAGATAAAACGAGCTGCCTTTAAATCTAGGAATACATTAATACTCTACAATTTTTATTTCTTGTCCCACCTTTCGTTATTTTTAGAGACCAGATTTGTCTAAGGGGATGCATTATCGAGTAACAGTTTTGTCTTAACAACGCTTCATTGAAATAGCAAAAGAAAATATCGAAAGTATGCATGAAATTCACGCGTAGGAGAAAAAAAATAAAGGTCTTAGCAAGTAACTAAAAAATATATTTTTTCATTTCCTTTTTTTCTCGTTTTCATCGTGAACCAGCAGGATCTATTGAGTTTTGACATTCGCAAAAATACAACCAAAAAGCTGTTGAAAATAATACATATTTTAAGCTATTCGTTTACAGGTTTTCAGTAGCATCAAGTTTTAAAGAAAAGAAAAGCGACAGCACTATATAACGTATAGTTCATGATGATATTATAAGAATTAAATTTAAATGATAGTAATAATATTGGTAAAAGTGGCATTAATTATAATTACAGTATTATTAATATTAATGGCTTAAATAATAATAATAATGATAATAATAATAATAATAATAATAATAATAATAATAGATATAACAATAATAATAATAATAACAATAACATAATATTAGTAATAACGATAATTTCTGAAATAAACTGCATTAAAAGCTATGCAAAATGAACAAGAACAGTTTGGAAAAGAGCTTACTGGGTAGAAAGTTTCCGAGGAAAGAAGAAAAATGACAGTGTTAATATTGAATCCAAAGAACTGCGGTATGGCAGATTCAACGTAAGTTAAAAGATACATCGAAAAGTATACAAATTAATACAGGAACAAGAATATAAATAAGATAAGTAACAATAGATAACTTATATGTGAAAAAAACTGTTAGATTTCAACTTCAACAAGTAAACTGCGTGTGCTTTCTTTTAGTACAAAATGGATAAGTATAACTGAGCAACTACGAGCTAAAAATACGCGTAGAAAGCGTGTTTTAGTAAGTTATCCCTTCAAATCATCGTCGTTATCATTGCTATGCTTATTCGTGATAAATAAAAAATTACATTTTCGAGTAACTGTGTATAATACAAGCGTAAAATAGTTTCCTACTTCTTTTTTCTCAATTAGATCGTAAGCCTACTGTTTTTAAGCCTACTGCCTACTGCTAATTAGAAACTAAAATTATTTGTTTATTTTTGCCTTTTCTCGTCTTTCTTCCTTAATCTGTGGTGAAGAAAGATTGAGACTATTACGACAGTTAGACAGTTAAAAGTTTCCGATAATTATTTGGCAAAAGTTTTTGAAGACCAAATGCAAAAAAAAAAAAAGAGTGGCGGCAGCTGAAAAAAAAAGTGAAGAAGTGAAAAAGCCATATTAGAGGAACTGCTATAAAGTAACATAAAATCATTTCTAAAGTTTGACAACGCTTTTTTTTCAACAAGTATCAGGTTTCTGTTGGCTTTCTTAGAATCGTATTGGAAAAACAGTGAATAATTTTTTGATTTCACGGAAATCGTACTAATTCGTATGCAAATAACTTAATAAATAAAAATGAAAAAAAAAAAA